AGTGTTGTTTTTGGTTTGTACATTTTTGCACTTTATTTTATTGTATTTCAATCCAATTATGTTTTAAAAATATTTTATTCGGGTAAATGATCGAAAATTATTGCACTATTATTTGTTTTTCTTTTAAGTAAATTTAGCCTACTTTTGCTAAAAGAGAAAATATGGACTATTGATAGTGCCTTGAATAATATCGGCTTCTTTCATTCATGTTATGGGTATTTTTATACAAAGGAAATTTTTTTGTGCCTGTTGAAAATTAAAGTTTACTGACGTAGCCATAAAAAAATGTTGCTTTATTTATCTGACCGTATTGGAATGTATTTGTTAGGTTTTCAGTCAATTAAATTTGGTTCAATAAACAATATGTGGTCATTTTTAAAATTTTCAATGAACATTCGATCAGTCCGGCCCTCGGCTTGCAGCAAAATTTTTTATCTGGCCCTCCGTCCATTTGATTTTGACACCCCTGTGTTAGAGGAATCTACGAACAGAATTATATCGTGTTTAAAGTTCTATTTAATTTGGGCCTGTCGAGACATATTGTGTATTTAGCGCCCCCAAATGTCTGTGCGCAAGGGTGTCGGCTGAGCGTTCTTTGAAGTCCACAGGGAGTCGTCTTACAGTTTGGGAGTAAACAGTTTAGGACAAAAGTGTTTTAGAACATCGAAAGACTGTCTGGGAACTCGCAGCCCAAGTGACCATTTGTCATCTGCGAAGTCTGCAACTTGTTTATTCGTGGGAGACGGTGTTAAAGTATCTGTGGTTCAAAGCTTGAAAAAAGTTCATCACATCTCCGACTGAGGGGGTGGACGGGGGGCGTGGTATGCAAATATTGGGGGCAGTGTATTTCTCGTATTTTGCATATGTAAACAATAAAAGACCAACGAGGAACACGAGGGACTTGGAATGTGATCACGGAGCAACTGCCCGCCGTTCGCTCTGAGAGATCCGCTCCCATCGGGCTGCACCAAAAACCTTCCCTGAGTCAAATTCTTCTGTTTAAACTTGTCCGGGTATAACTCTAACAGATTCTGTGAGTGCAAGCTTTCCTTTAGATTTGAATATACAATTCAATGATTTGAATGTGAGACAACCTGTGATGCAAGTGGTGTGTTCGGGTGGTTCTGTTTGTGACCAACAGGTGGCACTGTCCTGCTCCTCCTGCAGTGGCACACCTGTTGGTCATTGTGTCATTAGTTAGTGTTTGGTTAAAAGGACTCCCTGCCCGACCAGTCGGTGTCGGATCATTGTGTGTGTGTGTCTCTGGGCATGTGTCATGATTTGTTTTTGTCATTGGTTTTTTTGTTTGTTTGTTTGTTTTCTTGTGGTTTTCAGGACTTTGAGTTTTTCAGTGAATTAAGTTTCTCCAGTGTACTCTTGTTTGTATTTTTGTTAAATGCATCTTGGTCACTCCACCCTGTTCCTCCCTGCTTCTTGGGGTCCTCTACACCAGTGTTTTTCAACCTTTTTTGAGCCAGGGCACGTTTTTTACATTGGAAAAATTTTGTGGCACACCACTAACCAAAAATGTGATAAAATGACCCTCTGAACAGTGTATTTAATTAAAATATAATTTCTCAGTTTATTTATACTCAATCAGTGTGAAACCTGGGGCTGTTTAGATCAGGGTTTTTCGAACTTTTTTTCATTGAAAAAAATCTCACGGCACACCACTAGCTGAAAATGTGAACCCCCAGACCCCCCCCCCCCCCCTCTTTTCATAAATC